AAAAAAAGAAATGTACTGCAATTTGAATCAGAATTCCATTGAATTTGTAAAGTGCTTTAGGAAATACTGACATTTTCTAACTATAAACATGGGAGAGTCCTGAATTTACGTAAGTCTCTCTTGGTTTCTCGTAGAAGCACTTTATAGCTCATACAAATCTTTGGTTTCTCTTAAGTTTATTCCTAAGTACTTTATATTTTTGAATGAGATTCTCTTTCTAACTTCTTTTCCAGAGTCTTCTTCCTTAATAAAAAAGAATCCTATTGATATGTGTATGTTAATCTTATAGCCAAGTTTTGTATTATTAAAACCTATTATGTACAACTAATATACATTTTTAGAAGATCAATTTTATTTTGTGTAGAAAGTATATACAATCTTTGTATAAATTGAGTGTGTGTGTCTGTGTGTGGAGCCCTGGTAGCATTGTGGATATCACGTTGAATTTCTAACCGAATGGTCAGCAGTTCAAACGCATGTCATTCCACAAGGGAAAAACGAGGCATTCTACTCTGGTGGTATTAACAGTCTTGGGAATCCACAGAGGCAGTTCTACCCTGTCCTATAGGGTCACTATGAGTTGCAATCCACTCAATGGCAGTGAATGTGTGTCTGTGTGTGTGTGTAAGTGTACTCATATACTTAATTAAGCCCTTTCATCTGTCTTTACTGGGGACACTTTACATTTTAAAATAGCATTACAAATGTTCCAAAACTATAACCAGAGGGTTATGTTTTCCCTAAAGAAATAAGCTAAGGCTTCTAAAATAGTAATTAATGGGAAGGAGTGAAAAAATTAATATTCTAAGGAAGCTGTAATCCAGTCTTATCTTGGCAGCCAGGGATATACTGACAAAATATGAATCAAAGCATCATTATCCTTCTGAAAATGTCCCCATGGTTCTCATTGCACTTAGAATAAGAGCAAACTCCTTATTTATAATGACTTTTATTTGGGGTAGTTCTTTAATTTTATCTTGATCTAATTTACCCTGGTCTTCTGCTAGGCACCTAGATGTTGGGGCTTTTGTACCTTTATTCTATCTGCCTAAGAATCTCTCCACATTTTACTACAGTTTGGTTTTCTTTTGCATTATTTATTGTGGTAAGTATAAATTTAGCAAACCATTTAATGTTTTAACAATCTTCACATATTCAATTCAGTGTCATTATTTAAATTCATCATGTTGTTAAGCCATCATCCTTACCCATTCCTAAATGATACTATTACTAACCCAGAAGTTCAGTGTCCTTTAAGCATTGAATCCTCTTTTATCCCTCCCTCCTGCCTACCCATGGCCATGACTAATAACCTTGGATCATCATGCTTTCACATGATTGAGCATGATTTAGGGTTTGGCCCATGTATATTTCTACAGAGAGGCCTTCTCAGATTACCCTATTTCAAGTAGAAGCTTGATACAATGATAATAATGATGATGCCAAAAGAACAATAATATTCATAAGAAATTATTTAAATAGCATTTAGCAGTTTACATATATTAAGTCATTTGAACATTAAATGCTCATATTAACTAGGTATTTTTATTTGCGTTTTGACACAGCTAAGGAAACATAGGTGAAGACAGGGTCAATAATTAAGTAACTATCCAGAAAATGCTAAGATTCAACACCGAGAACCGGTCCAGTCTGTGTTGTTTCTTTCTACATTGCCTTAGTTACTGCTTGGAAATCATTCTTTTTCTCCACATCCTACAGCCTTGTTCACTTATTGATTTACTTATTGATTGTTTTTATCCTCTTTATAGACTATAAAGTAGTATAATTATCCTCTGATACATTGTTGGAACTGAATCCAGGGTGCCTAAGTTTTATCATTAGCCATGAGGCTTAACTCTTTATGCTCCATTTTTATTATCTATCGAATTAACTGAACGTTACTTACCCTGTAGTATCACAATACATTTAAAGTGATTAGTACAGTGTCTGGTACATAGTAAGAGCTCATTAAATGTTAAAAACGATTAATAATAGAAGTAATCATGGTGATATTAAGATCATTCTTTGTTGTCTATATCTAGCCTAGTATTCATGCAGTGAACACGGCATTGGTTGTTTGTCTACCATGAACCAGACGCAACTTTATAGAAGAGGAGAGATGGAATGTGCATTGTAAACAGAAGTGGTGCTGAGCATATTGTTGCTACTTAATCAATAGAGATTTGAGTGACTTTTTCCAGTTTTTAAATCTTCAGATGGGAGGAATGACAAATAATATAATACTTGACTTTGAAAAAACCTTCTTTCTTAGCTTTATTTTAGGTAGTACTCTAGGTGTTTTTAAAATTGTTGTTAGTTTTTGCATTATTCAACCATTCTTTTATGTATATAGAAATATTATTTCTTTTTAGAATATTAAGTATTAGAGGAGATCGTTGGCCTCTCTTCCCACTCTGACACTAACCGCTGGAAGAAGATGATATGGCATGCATTTCATGATTGCCAACATTTCAGTGGCACCATACAAAACGTGGAGA